CCAGAGTGTTTCACTGTGCACACAAGTCATACAGTAAACAAGGAGTAAAGCCATATGGTATTAATAAAGCAGGCCAGACAGAGTAAATGTGCATGAGCCAGTTTAGACAACAGGGTACAATGTTGCACCTCCTTTGCTGGAACATTAAACCACTTATGACATCAGACTAATATGAATTTACACACTAGGGCACTGAGTGAATTTACAGTGCACACAGGTCGCAATACATTGGATACCGGATATATATATAAAAAAAAAAAAAAGAGAGATTAACAAATAGGGTAAGGCTAAACGGGGCTAGTGGCTAACACAAGAACTTACAAAGCATTCCATTAGTGCCTACCTTTTCCATATACTGTGAGCAGTTGGATTCTTGGAGTAAATTTGATGCTTCCTGTTTATAATACTCTCCTGTTTTTGTCACAAACTCCCCTTCGAAGATGTCCTGATAAAACTGCAACACAATAAAAGATAAGATTTGAGCATACAAACAGTCATTGGTCTGCATGAGCGCCTGCTGGATATTTTGCGGGGAATACATTTGTCCATATTTTATACTGCGTCTTTTCATTTGGGTTAAGGCTAAACTGGGGCGCAGCCAGGCTGACATGGGGCAACTGGCAAGGCATATCTTGGACTGGTCGGTCGCAGGACACAGAGACAAATGACCATTTACTGTACACAGACTATCACCACGACGGGCAATTTAAAGTCTTCAATTGATCCAAATCGTGTTATTGCAAACTGCGTGGCAGGAAGCTCACGCGAGGGCAGCCGCAAAGAAGATGTGGCACAACGGTATCAGCAAAACGTTTCAAAGTTAAAATTGAGCTCACATTCTCACCTTCAGCGGAAACTTCTTCTTGTACTGCTCCACGTGAACAAAGGAGTTGATTACCCCGTGGATCACTTTCTGGTTGGGGTTCTCACCACAACGGTCACTGTAGGGACAACATTTTAGTCTGAGCCTCGAACTACACTTGACGTGCATTTCCAGTGGCTGAAACTGTGTGGGGAAGTATTACTTTTTGATTTCATTCAGCAACATCCGGATCAGAATGGCTTGAAGAGGCTCAATCATGAGCTTCCTCCACATATCCAGCGCCAACTGTAGTGTCAAATTAAAAAGTGTTCATCATTGGAGCATCAGATCACCCAAATGGACATTGCACTGCAAAGTTATTGTCGCTTCTATGCTCTATTGGTCAATACCTCTCCAATCTCCATGAGTGGCTCATTCAAGTCCCCTCCCCCATAGCCGTACTGTAGGTCTGCCTCTGTCAGTTTGTTCTTCTTAATGAACTGTGTGTTGAGATACCTGGAGAGGGCAAAAGTGTAGGTCATTATGAACATGGGCCAAACATCCGAAGTTTCACGGTAAACTGAAATGAATAGAACAAACCAGCCAACCACCCCCATAATGATATCAAGACTGTACAGATGAGACATTCACCGAGTCAACGAGACTCTTAAACCGTATGGTGAGCAAGATGGCGGTGAGCGTACGGCAACGGCGTTACCTGTACAAGCAGTCCATGTAGTCCGCCCCTTTGCTGTATTCGTCCCAGTATCTGTGGTACATCACTAAAACCTTCTCTTCCGATTCCAAGACTTTCTACGATGCAAGCACATTCGTGATAAACATCTGGAAAAGCCGCACGCGGCACCACTTCGGATTTGGCGTTGTGCTTACCTTGTACAAATTCCGAACATGATTCTCGAGAAAGACCTTTGTTTCGCTGTATAATCTCTCACCTAAAGGCTCAGGGTATGCGACACACAAGGCATATATATCACTGGGGTCGCAGTTCAGGAAGCACAAAATGTAAAAGACATCAAATGCAGTTTTTAAACAATTTTGACTCAGTAACTCTCCATAACATACATTCACCGCTGACTAACATTCAACAAAAAGCACTTCAGTCAGGATACGAGAAACGGTCGTTCCACGTTGCTCTCTCCACATAGTCGAGCATCACAACAGCCTTGATTGTCGTTAGTAACTTGTTCCATGTCTCGTCGAAATCCACCACCCGTGGCTTCAAGGACATTGTGCAGCCTTTCTATTAGCCTGATAAGAACAGACACAAAATCATTCAACCCATGCCAGCCAATAGACACAAGCATTGCATTGCTGTGGGTTTTGGATGCTTGAGCTCTGTGAGTATAAGTATCTTGATATTCCTCAAAATACAGTATGAGCAACAAACGTCGCTTGTTTCCATGCTCAGTTTCGACAGAATCCTGTTACAGCTCCATTCGGACATACATGGACGAATTGGACTACTATTATTGTGTCAACATACTTGGACTGAGGGACCTCATATTTTGGCTTGGGTTTTTTGTTTGTTTATTTTTTTTATGGTTACAATTCAGGTACTGGTTTGGATCACAACAGGCAAAAAAGTAATGATAATTGTTTTGGCAAAGCAAAAGCAGGTGTGTGCAATTCATTGGTCAATTTTCCACATGGTCACTCAAACAAATGTCAACAAATGGCCATCCTGTGTTCCAACACTTCGGTTGAATGCCGAAGCAGATCAAACAATAGCAAATGGGTTTAGTCGATGCATCCTCAGCATCACTGATGTACACTTGAGTCAAGCACTCATCCCCCTGCAAACTGTTCAGAGGCATCCTTTCACTCAACATTTCACTCTCATGGCGTCCTCTTTCACAGATTGGTTCTATGCTTACGTCCAATACAGGAATAACCACAGGAAAAACAGAACTTCACTTGTGGGATTTAAGACAGTAAAACAAATACATATGTTGACTCAATACTGTGCAACTATCCTGCGTAAATACTCTCCCGTTATATTTATCCTCAATGGGGGAGAAGATGTTTTTGATGCATTTTGCAATGATGCCTGTGAAGTCTTTAAATCCTTTGTGTACCCTGGATGGGGAAACGAATCGAATCTCTTGGCTGAGATTAAAACATAACATTGGGACTGGTTACTGGAAAGATGCTAGTGTCCTTGCTGAGCCGTGTGTCGATGTGCCCTTGAGCAAGGCACCTAACCCCCAAACCCCTCAGGTGCACACTGGTCCTCACGCTCTTATTTAGCATGCATGGGAATTGTTTCTGTGTGGTGCAATGCGTGCACCAAGATCAGCAGATTGAAACGTGGTTTGATTTCGCTTTCTTGCTTTAAAACTGTGTAATAGATGAATATCACACATAGAAAACGTCAGCCACTGGCTTGCTACTAGCTACTTCTTAACGGCCGTTGTATATTAACGTCTGTGCAACATGACGTGTGCCACTAATAAATAAGAGTCCTTTTCAGAAAAGGAGGCAGCCATAAAATGAAAGTTACCGGCTGCCGGAATGTCAGTCCCAAAATAGGATGGCTAGCGATCGAGCTAACTAGCATCTCTCTAGCATGCTACTTCTCTTTGCTCGTTTGCACTGTAAAGGCACCAGCTAACAACTTGTACCTAGCAGGAAGCTACAGGCAGCAGCGCAGCTATCGCGAGCAAATGCCCATCTACTCTCTGCGATGTCACTCGTTTGGCACTGACAGCTCAGTAATCATGCTGCTGAAATGACACCAACTGCGTCCAAGGGTAAACGTCAGGAGTGTACCTACCGCTGTACTGTAAATCCTTGCTATAAAACTCAAGTTTCTACGCTGTCACAGGCTTGATGTGTCTCACTGCTCTTCACTCCTTCTTGGATTATACCATTGTCTGAAAGGGGGTCATGGTAAAGTTGTGTTAATTGCTCGCCAATATTAGTTTATTTTTAGAGTAAAACGCGCAGTTGAAATCTTTTTAAAATGTATATTTGCCTCATTCGTTTCGAAATAAAGGTTCAAAGAGGCTAAATATCAGTTTAAGATGTGAGTGCAAACTTAAATTAGTGGTACCGCCCATAACTACGGAAGGCTCTGAGGAATTGAGCAGGAAAAGTCTCTTGTCGGTATGTTTGTGCTGTCTACCCTAAATCATGCAACCGAAAAACAAGAACATATCTCGGAGAGAACTGCTTATCAAACGTAATTTTTGATTAACTCAGTTGCATAACAACATGAGAATAGAGCGATCATGGAGATGGTTCATCACTTAAATATAGGAAACTACAGGTCGTTCTGGCTTGAATATTTCTGACGTAAAACGGACGACGATCAGTGGTTTTACTCCCACACAGTTGGATTCGAATTGGATTTGACTTTTATTTGGTCTCCCGTAGGATAAACTTGTCTCGGATTCTACACTTATTGGACAAAACGTATAGCAACGTTTCATTCAGATCTGTTGGGGTTGATGTTTCCCCGCATGACGACAGCAGAGGGAGACAGATGCCTTAATTTTGAAGTGGACTCACAAAGACGTACACTTGTTTTCAAAAAAGCCAAAGGAGAAAAAAAAAGTCACGCACTACTTGAGGAGCTCATGTTGCCTAATTTACCTTATACTGAAATCCCCATGAAATGGGGATTCCAAGAAAGAATGACCTCAAACGCACCAATAGAATCATGTTTTCAGTGTAACAAAATTGAGTTACAGCATGGCCAGCCCAACTCCGGTCCTTAATTCCATAGAAAATTTGCGGGGTAACATACAAATATGCCGTTATTGAGGATTGTGCAACGTTCTCAAATCATCCTTGGCTGGGATACCGTTTCACATTCTGCAAGAAGTTGCTTACCACCATGCTAAACAGATGTGAATGTAGGAAAGTACAACATACTCTGATGTGGTAATTATTTTGTGGCTGCTCGTACAGTATTTGTATGCAATACAACATTGTTGCAATGATATTCTCCTCTCAGCTGACCTTGATCAACATCTTGGACAGTTTCCAGGCTATTCCAGGGCACAGACAAATAATGCACAATTCACTCTCACATTCACATCTATGGGCAATGTTGTGTGTTCAATTACCTTAGCGTGGAATGAGGGAGGAAGCTGAAACACCTTGAAAGAATCTGCAAACTCCATGCAGGAGGACCTGAGTCGACTGTGAGGCATACACGCTAATCGCTGTTTCACTTGCTGAAAAAACAAATATTGTAAATGCAAGTATTATGTGTTTACTGCAGTGCCAAAGGTTAGAGTCATGAACAAACCGTGAAACAAAAACAAAAAACAAAAAAAAAAAACTCCCCACAGCCAAACAGCAGAGCCCCTGACTCACTCACAGTGTGCATCACTGTCGACACTGGAGTCCAGTGATGTCATAATGATGTCAATGCCCCTAAATGTAAGTTCCACAACGCTGCTGCTGACTGTGGTAATATTTTAGTCTGAGAGAAGACGCGGGAAGGGACACACTCTCTTGAAGATCCAGGGAGTAGAAAAGTATGGCTGTGACTGGGGACGAATCAGAAACAGGTATGTTTCCTGACATATTTTACTGCATTAAAACAGCAGCCTTGTTTGTTCATCCAATCATGATGAGAGTCATCACAGGGATACTTGGTAGCAGCAATAGCGGTTGAAACTTGCACAACAAAACATGCTCTTTGATATACTGTAATATTTGTTACAATACAAGGAACATTTCCCACAGTGAGCCATGCATTTTGAAACAGTCGGCTTTTGTCTCTTTTGACACTCTCCCTCTCCTTCAGTGAAATGCTTGAGTGCTCTGCCCACGCAAAGCAAATAGCAGCAGTTGCTGACGTCGCTGCTGTTGCTGTTAAAGGTCTCCACAGTATGTAATGCAGCGAGTAAGATGTAGACTGACGTCAGTGGCCAGCCTTGGTGTGATTCTATTCAGATGCTTTTGCATTGCAGCTCAAAATGAATCACCCATGTGTTGCGGTAAATAGAGTTCTGCCATGGAAACAATGACAAGAAAGAAATGTACATTTAGATAGGGGCCCCATCCCAAAGATAATTGCAGGGCCTCTACTTTGTTGGGAGATGCAACAGAAAAACAAAACAAAATGTGCAGTTCGAGATGAAACGAGGCAGCGCGGTTGCCAAGGGGGTGACGCGTCTGCCTCACAGCTTTGTGCTTCCAATCGCTCCCTCAGACCTCCTGCATGCCGTTCAACATGCACCCCACGATCTTACATGGGGTTAGCCTGGCGCTCAAAGTCCAACCGTGTTCTTTCTGCAGGCCCCACAGGTGAGCTCGTTGGCGCCAGCTCCATTCTCCCGCTGGCTGTGGCACAGAGCAGCACTCACAGCCCCCATAAGCCTTTCGAAGATGTGTCACAGAAGAGGGAACAGCGCTTGATGAAGAATAGGTACGAGGCTGTTTCAATGGCTTATTTCACAGAGGTCAGAGTTGAATATCAGCTGTTCAACATACTTGATGACAAACAGGACTCAGCTAGTGAACGTGATCTCAAATCTTGAAAGACCGAAAATGGTTATATTTTGTTTCGACAACATATTGCTGTTGGTGAGATGAATTTCCATGAAATTTCAGCTCATCCACAAACCTAAAGAAGAGAAATGTTTCGACAATGGGTGGTTTGGTGAACCACGCATCCTCTCCATTACAAACTTAATGCAAGTCATAGGAAGTGTTAATCTTGACTCATGTTTCATCACTTCCGCTGGTATAACCTGCTGAATGGCTTGAATGACATGTCTGTTGTCTTTGTGTGACTCTTCCAGGGAAGCCGCCCGGGAGTGTCGTCGAAAGAAGAAAGAGTATGTTAAATGCCTGGAAAATCGTGTGGCCGTGCTTGAAAATCAAAACAAGACTCTGATCGAGGAGCTAAGAGCCATGAAAGACATCTACCGACACAAAGTCGAGTGATCTTTTTCATTCGAAACATGGAGAAAGGACAAACACCCGCAAATTCTACTGTAAAACCCTCGTGGCAAACAATCCCTCAAATCCCTTTTGTTAGATTTTTGTGATTTCAGCGTTTTTCTAACATGCCAACAGCAGCAAAAACAGCAAGTTAGGTCATGTCAGTCTTCAAGATCATGTGTGTTGTAAACAGGACGAAAAAATATAACCATGCAAAGATGCAACTGTCGGAAAATGTTTCTTGCAGTCACATTGTCGCCTTCTTTTACTGTATAGTCTAAATTACATCACACCTGATCTTAAGTAGAACAAAACCAGGCTTTTTTTAATGTATTCTTCGATGAAGCTTATTTAGTTGTCTCTATATTTTCTACCAACCATCCAACGTGATTTCGGTCACCAGGAATCAGAGCAGCAGCATGTGCGGGCTCATTTTACAACACTAAGTCTTTTTATTCTTTGCCCTGCTTATCTCCTCCGGCGTTTGAACAGCAGTTGTTGGTTTGTTGAGTAAAAAAAAAAAAAAAAAAAAAGAAGAGCTTCGGATGATTTATTTTTTTTGTTTTTTAGCTATTGCTCAACTCAAATTTTACATGCCACTCATGGCTATGTCCAAATGTTATATACTGAAAAAAATGGTGTGGTGAATTTACAAAATTTAATTTTCTCAAGCAGTTGCACAAGTGGATCCAGATACATTTTTTTAAGTAGATGTATTGAATTGCTTGAATAAAATACTTCATTCTTCTTTTGCCTACACCCAACAAAGCCTGCTTAATCTGACAAATTGTTAGTATCAACGCACCATGAAACATGCATTTACAGACAATTTGATGCCCGATACCTGTACATGCGTTTGATGAGGAAGTTATTTCACTGTGTAATGTTTTAGTGTTATGATGCCATAGTTTTAACATGGCAAATTATGAATGCCTCTTCTGTGAATCTAGTCCGTCTTTATAAACAATGTTTCATTATGTTTTGTCCTTAAAAGCGCCATGATGTTACTCATGTTTTAGGGAAATGTACAATGTATCATTTTAATTGCGTGATTTAAATACTTTATCGTTTAATGTTAGGCTGAACTTATACCAGAGAGTGACCCACAAATGATTCTTTCGTTCAAAGAATCATATACCGAAACCATACTGTTCACTCAGTGTACAACGTACCGTAATGAAGACGAGGGTTAACATGAAGGTTTAACACTCCTGACCAGTGAGTAGCGCTGCTGCATAAACAGGCTGTAGTTGACAATGACGCTAAACGAGGAAAAACAGGGGAAATGGAATGCCAAGACAAGAGAGTACAGTACTGTACTATAGTTAGACCTAGATCTAGTCTCGAGCAGGATAACAGGATGCAGAGATGCGTCAGCTCGTCCGCCTTGTTGAATGTGGCAGATCTTCACGGTATCCTCAAATGAATGGACTGTACTTCATAAAGCGACATCCCACAAAGTGCACAAAATGAATGCCTCTCATTCACCCATCCACGCAAGCACACGTGGCAAATTTATTTGGGAAAAACAAATAGGTTCCAAAATCGTTGGTGACTTTATATCTTGTTTATAACACGCGCGCACACACACACACCCATACGCACACGCACACACACAATGAAATATTGAATCGGGGTGTACAATAACCATCCCGTGAAATGTACAGTAGATGTGACATTTGGGTTTTGTGAATGAGGACAAGGATTTACAATTGTGATTATTTGATTTCGATATGTCGTGATTTATATCAAGCTACTATTATTGACAATGACCGGAGACAGACTTGCACACATCGTTTTTTTTTGTTTCCCACTCCTCTCTCAGGTTTTTAACTTTGGAAAATAATGAATAACATAACAAATGGTAGGTCATGTTAGGTAAACAGCCGTTCAAAATGTTGATTGGTGAAATTTTTAACTGTGAAATACACAATTTTGGACGCTGGGTTCACCCTAGGAATAAACCACAAAATCCGCAAACTCAATTTATGCACCAAGTAGGGGGGCAAAAAACTCACTTTGACACATTCATCATGGCGGCGCTGTTAACGTACGATTCTGCAACAAGGCTGGGTCGATGTATGTTTGATGTTTATGGAGCAGAAGGGGAATATCCCCGACGCATATGAGAGCAACATGGTAGCGGAGGAAGCCACTGATGTGCACACACTATCGGTTACAATGTAGCACCGATGTCGAAACAAATATTTGCCGAACGACCAAAAGTGTCATGTGTTCCTTCTCGCTTGGTCGTAAGAGCGTAATAAAACGATTTGGTGAAAAAGGAGGGGACCCTCAGTCTGGAATAACAAAACGAAGGGAGTCGTCAGAAGAGCTAAGTGTGTTACATGGAGGCACATAATCTACCCTCGCCTGAAGGTTTGGAAGGAGCTCGGGGTTGCTCGGCTCCTCTTTTATCTTAATTTTGCATTTTAGCAACCTTTAAATGGCTCGGAGTCATCAGCTAAGCGTATCCTAGGCCGGGGAAAGGGCGTGTAACGCGAGCGGATAACGGGGCCAGTTTGTAGTTTGTCTCCTCGGATTACCGCCCATTTCTTTCCTCTTTCCCATACAAAGAAACTAAAAGTTGTGTCCAACGACTAGCATTAATCTAATTTCGCCATGGGGAATACACCTTCCTGCTGCGTGGCGTCGAGCCCCAAACACCGGCGGAACAACCACTCCAGACTGGAGCCCTATCGGCCAGAGCCGGAGCTTAGCCGGGAGGATACGGGCTGCAACCTCCAGCACATCAGCGACAGAGAAAATTTGGACGGTAAGATGTTGCCAATATGCATTCAACGGTCCTTGTGGGTTTTTTTCGATTGCAACTCTTACTTGCAATATTTGTGCAAAGGACCCACCCACTCGTTGCAGCAGCAACTCCTGTAGATGTGTAATCATTTCGGTTTAGTGAGCTATTGTTTGACAGTCTTCACAACTGGCAGTAACATAAAGGAAATGGTCAGGTTTGCTTTGAGAATGACAGTCAAGTGAAGCCCTGTTGATTTTGCGCAATACGTTCCATATTTCATTTTAACATCTGTATTAAGTTTTAAAACTGACACAAAAAAACCAAAGTGGAAAACATTGATTGCATATTTAAACAACAAAATGCTTAAAGTAAGATAGAATGGGGAACATCACAGACGGGCTAAAGGAAATTAGTGTAATTATAAACTTTCAAATTACTACAACTGCTACATGAACACACGAATTAGCAGCATATACAGCCAGAGGAACAACAGTTACTGAGACCGAAGCCAACAGTACATCCCTTTTTATGCAAATCGGTTGAGCTAATTTTGCTATGATAGGTAAGGTTCACGCTGCAGGGCGTGATGCTCAATTCGATTTTTTTTTGTTAAATCCGATCTTTTATGTATTCGTTCACATGAATAAAACAAACGTGACTTTTAATATGAATGCATTACAGTACAGATACTGTATACGTGCGTGTCACATCACGGGCGCGCGCATGCGGGTGACACGCATGCGCACAAAGCACGACGTCGAGAGGCGTGCATCCCCCCCCCCCCAAACGACGTCACGTGGCGCCGTGTTTACCAAAGTAAATTTGAGAGCAATACTTAACACAATTCAAAATTCCATGTGGGTAAAAATTGTGTGACTATTCAAAATTCCATATGGGTAAAAATTGTGTGTGTGTGTGTGTGTGTGTGTGTGTGTGTGTGTGTGTGTGTGTGTGTGTGTGCGCGCGCACGCGCTATTATTACGGGCATGTGATGGAAAAAGAAAGTCATTCATGAAAACTGCTGACACTGGTGACGCGAGCAACATGCCCGCTCATCCCAAGTATGTATTAGTAGTTGTCCCCACTATAAATCAGCAGCAGGCCTACTGGAAACCTGATTTGCCCAAGCAGTCGTCCTCTGTCTCTATGTTCCCCTGGTTCCTCATTAAAACTCCAGGCTTCGAAACCACCTGCCTCCCCTTCGTCCATTGATTAATTATTCTGTTTACTCCCCAAAAGCAATATCAATCACAGTGCCATGTTTTGACATTCATTGGTTCATACAATGTATTTGTGCTTTAATATTCTTTGTTCCATTTTCAGTAATCCCAAGTAGAGAGAATCACTTGTATATGCTCCAGCTCACACCTGACCCTTTATGTAAGCGGGATGGGAAATAGAGGAAAGATGAGCCTTCAATACCAAAATGAAAATTATAATAGAGATGTACACGATGAAACGGAATCATCAGTGAGAACTGACTGGATGTTAGTCAAGGCTGACATCTGTAACTGAGCAGTGGCTCCAGGCACCAATATTCCTCTATGTCTTTATGGTGCAGAAGTTAATTTGTGGGGCACACACATGAACATATTGACGAGTCTTGCTGGCAGGCTAATTGAAATCTGGGCATGGATTATTTATGCCTGGTTGATGAGCCTGGGGACTCTCCAAAGTATGAGTTCCAGACAGGTTGACCTACATGTCCAATATACGTGGGAGAATTGGAAAACATTTTCCATCAATAAATATGCACTCATTTAGGGTTACTTGAATATGTTACCGTTAATGAACACTGTACATTTTTAAAAAAAAATTATGATCATGAAACCTTTTCACTTTTGGAATGGTTTATAGTCATCGGTTTCTGAGGAAGCCGAGTCCATGCTTCACGGTGTTGAACCGAGTGTCAATATCTGGCAGGCCGACATGGCATGTCTAATCACAGTGTTACACTGCCACAGCAATTGTGGGAAAACATCTGTTGCCAAAGGTCACTTGCTGTTGTTGTGAGTTGTTCTTTTAATAAAAATATATCCCTCCATTGCCATCACTGGATTCCTTGCTTGGTCTTCTGTTTTTGGGTGTTTATAATGCGTCTGTTTGTGAAGTACTGTACACCTAACTGTCTAACCTCGTTACATTTTAACAAAATCAATGACCCGGCCTTCTTCCATGATGCCGTTCACCCTCCACTGGAAATCCCGACTTTTGTTCCGAATCAGAAAGCTGTACTTTAGATCAAGTGCGCTGCTGGTGTTTTGTTGTTTCAGCAATGCCATTATGCCTGACAGTGTCACTGTTCTATCAGGCCCACCAGCAATTAGGATACTGAATCAGTGGGCGAGGCAGATTTAAAGACTGCAAAAGCCTTTGAATGTCCTGCCTCCACCATCTGAGTCGTCTCAAGCCAGCGTTGCCTAGTTACAGCAAGAAGATGA